CACGTCCTAAAATCTGTCTTACAACAGATACTTGGACTTCTATACAAAGAATAAACTATATGTGTCTTACTGCTCACTTTATTGACAGAGATTGGAAATTGCATAAAAGGATAATAAACTTTTGTCCTATCTCTAGTCATAAGGGTGATGATATGGCATCGGTAATTACTAATTGTTTGCTTGATTGGGGGTTGGAAAATGTATTTACTATAACTGTAGATAATGCTAGTTCCAATGATGTCACAGTAAGAGAAGTGTCTAAACAATTGACTACCTGGGGAACTAATATAATGAATGGTAAACACCTGCATGTTAGATGTATGGCTCACATACTTAATCTCATTGTACAAGATGGGTTGAAAGAAATTGGTGTTTCTATCAAGAGAGTTAGACAAGCTGTGAGATACATTAGACAATCTCCCGCTAGGATTAGAAAGTTTAAAGAATGTTGTGAATCTCAAAAGTTAACTTCTAAGAGATCATTATGCTTAGACGTTTCAACTCGATGGAACTCTACATACATGATGTTAGACACAGCACAACAATTTGAGCTTGCCTTTGACAAATATAGTTTCTTTGATATTGGATTGTTGCATCATCTTCGTACCTATGTTTGTGAAGATGGAACTAGTGCAGGTGATCTCACAAGTGTTGACTGGGATAATGTGAGAACAATGGTAAAATTTCTTGAAGCTTTTTATTTGCTTACTTTGAGGGTTTCTGGTTCTATTTATGTCACTTCCAATGTGCATTTTGTTGAAATTTGTGAGCTTGATCTTATATTGAAAGAGTGGATGGAACATGAAGATACTAGTTTGAAAGAAATGGCAAAAAAAATGAAAGAAAAATTTGTCAAGTATTGGGGTGAACCTGAAAAAATGAACAAAATGATCTTTATTGCATCAATTTTGGATCCCCGTAACAAGCTTGAATATGTTCCTTTTGCAATTGTGAGGATGTTTGGAGAAAACAAAGGGAAAAAATTGATTTTAGAGGTGAAAAATTATATGGATTCTTTGTTTGATTATTATGTTAAAAAAAATTCAATAGGAACATCATCTGCTTCATCTGGAAACACAACAACTACTGTCAGTGGTTATGGTAGCTTTTTAAAAAGAGGAACAATGAGAACAAAATTAGAATTTGAGAAACATAAGGAAGTGACCGGAGGTTTAGGTACTAAATCAGAGTTAGAAAGATATCTTGCTGAAGATCTTGAGCCTGAAACAGATGACTTTAAAATCTTAAAGTGGTGGAAAATCAATGAGCCTAGATTTCCCATTCTTGCGGAGATGGCTCGTGATGTATTAGCCATTCCTATTTCAAGTGTTGCATCTGAATGTGCATTCAGCACGGGAGGTCGCATTCTTGACTCGTTCAGGAGTTCGTTGACGCCTAAACTGGTGCAATCTCTTATTTGTCTTCAAGATTGGCTTAGAAGTGAACCTATTCCTATTAAAGTTGAGGAAGACTTGGAGTATCTAGAACAACTAGAACTTGGTAATTATTTTGTGTCTTTCCTTTATTATATTACAAATAGTTTACTTAACACTGATGATGCATGACAAAGTTTTCTTCTATATTTTCCTTAGATCTGGCTGATAGTGCAAAAGATTCAACTATTATTGACATATAGTTGCAACATGTACCATGTGTGGTAACTGGTAAGTTGATAGCCTTCTGTATATTTGAAGATATAACATTGATATACTTTATTATAAATCAATTGTGTTTTTGACCTATAATTATGTCTTTTGTTGCAAAGGTTTGATCATGGCGCCTAGATGGAAGTGATGCTATAGTAAATAGACTTCACTTGTTTCATGCTACTTAATGTAATTATTTCTCTGGTTTTGAGACTTCAGCTGTTCAGCAGCATGAAAACTTTCTAACTTTTGGATTACTCTTTTGGTTATGTAATATGCTTGTACTAAACAATGGCAGCAAAGTAGCATAGATTCTAAGTTTTTTGTTCTCTCATGGGCCATGGCTGTAACTTGTAACCAGTGGCAGCAAAGCAGCATAGCTATTTTGGTTTTTTGGTTCTGTAATGTAGTGCTCTTTTGGTTGTAACTACTAATCCCTACTCCCTAGTTTATATTTGTTTGTATGATTGTGGGATCTTGTATGGACCAAGTAGAGGTGTAAACCGTGTAATTAGCAGCATCCTTTGGTTATGTTTAATTGATGAATTGCTCCTTTTTCGGTCATCTCATCCACAGTTCAAAAATCCAGGCTTACACTGAAAAGAACATATTTATGACTTAACACATTCAAAAAGTCCAAAATTTTGAAAAAAACCAACAAATTAGTCCAATTATTAAGCAGAATAAGCCCAGCCCAATATGATAATGTTCAAACCGAAAACCGACCCAAAATTAACCGAACTGAAATTTAAAAAACCGAACTGAACTGAACTTATTTCAGTTCGGTTTCGGTTATCATATTTACAAAACCGAAAACCGAATAACCGGACCGAATTTATTCAAACCGAACCGAACCGACCGAATGCCCACCCCTAATGGAACCTCCCCTTGAATATAATGAGTCAGTGCATCCATCACAGGGCAAATAGGAATGGGCTGAGCGCAGACCCTTGGTGCAATCCCGTAATAACTGGAAAGTGTTCAGAGTCGCCTCCTACTGTCCTAACCCGAGTCTTAGCTCCATCATACATGTCTTTAATCACCCTAATATAGTTACTCGGGACCCTTTATCCTCTAAGCAGCTCCATAAGACCTTCCTAGGAACCTTATCGTACGCTTTCTCCAGATCAATAAACACCATGTGGAGATCCTTCTTCTTATCTCTGTACTGTTCCACCATCCTCCTAATAAGATGGATAGCTTCTGTGGTAGATCGTCCCGGCATGAACCCGAACTGGTTGTCTGAAATAGACACCGTCCTTCGCACTCTCATTTCTACCACTCTCTCCCAAACTTTCATGGTATGACTTAGTAATTTGATGCCCCTATAGTTGTACTATTGAGCTATTATAATAGTGTAGAGGTTTAATTTGAAGTTTTAATATTATTTTCCTTATTTCTCTATCTATGTTTGGCTTACCTAATCTTAGAGAGTAGGTATCATCACGACATGAAACTGGGGTCGTGACACCCCTAGTCCTTTTCTAGAAGAATCAGCCGCATTCTTTTGCCTCCGAGTCCTTTTTCTTTTTTTCCTCTTTTAGTTTCTTTTAAAGAATAACAAACAAAATTAAAATATTATCCCTACTAAATTAAAATTGTTAGGTAAAATGTTAACTAACTATTCTTAGACCTAGAAAAGTATAGGAAATTACTGAAAAGACTTATAAAATAGTAATTTTTCACAAGAAGAAAACATATTATTTGTGTTTTTTTCGTAAATGAAAGTAAAACTAATATCTAAAAGTGTGACTCTTTTTGTGATTTTTAATTTTCTTAAGTAAACCTACTAAAAAGTGAAATAAAGGATAAAATATATAGATTAAACTTAAAAAATATTTAAATATTGAAAATGGTTAAATTTTTTAAATATGATCAAAAATTAGGTGCTCACAGCTCTAAAATGATTTCAAATTAATTAGGGAGTGCTTCACCTTTTAATAGATATTACCTAACGCAAATTATGATTAATTGAGACTCCAAAAGAAATATTGAATGCGTAACTTTAAAAGCTAGATAAAATTATTGAATAAACAAAAAAACCTATCGTGTGTCCACATCTTAAAAGTCAAAGGCATAACGTTGATCTATCTTTTATTATCAACAAAAGGAACAGAAGAAAAAACACACCTTCAGTTAATCGGACATAAATTTAAATGTTAGCCATTTTTGCATAACTACCGTGGAATTCGACATTGTTTGTCTCTTTCTAAAAAGCTACTCCTACGAAAAAAGAAAAAGAAAAAGACTACTATGCACCCCTTTGACTTCATTTTGTATTTTAATTTGACGGGACACAGAAATTTTAAAAAACAAATAGATTGAGATTTGAATTTTGTAGTTTTAATTATGGCATATAAAGTATTAATGTTAAAGAGTTACTAAATATAAAAAAATATTATTTTAAAGAGATTAAAAGCAAAATAGAACATATAAATTAGAACAATCTATGTATGATTTTTTTTTTAATTACTAAGGTATAATGTGTACTTTCTCTCTCTACGGAATCAAAGTATTTGTCTAGCATGTTTGGTCAAGCTTTTTCGATTTTAAAAGTACTTTTTTCTAAAAGTTATTTTTTTAAAAAGTTTAAGTGTGACCAAACTTTTGGAAGAAAAAAAGTAATTTCGAGGAGAAGCAGAAATAATTTTGGAAAAGCAGAAAAAAATAACTTCTCACCAAAAGTATTTTTTTGAAAAGTACTTTTAAAAAAATACGTAAAAATAATTTTTAAAAGTCTTACCAAATACTAATTAATGGTGAAAATTATTTTTCAAATTAATTAATCCTTTTAAAAAAATACTTTAAATTTAATTTAATTTTTGTAGGTTGGCCAAAAGACGCTAGTAGTAGTCTCATCATGTTATCACTACTACTTCCTATCGACATGAGAAAGTAATTAAAAATCAATAATAAAATAAGCCAAATGAAAGTGCAAAACAGAAAAGAAGAAGAAAATAGATCAAAGAAATCTGAGTCTTTGACTTTCTTCAATCCCGTTTCATTGTCTCCTCTCTTTGTCATCTCAAAGATTCAACTCAACTTCTTCCCTAAGACAAAGGCTCTTTCCACTTCAATCTCACACCCAAAAAATTAGCAACTTTCCACTGTGATTATTGTCCTTTATTTCTTGTCAAACAAGAAAATGATGATTTTGAGAAGTAATGCACTATTTCTTGTTCTAATCTTGGGGTTTTCGTTAACTCAAATTCAGTCTCTACGATTTGAAATAGAATCAGGTCATACAAAATGCATATCTGAAGAAATCAAAGGCCATTCCATGACTGTAGGAAAATATCATATCATTAACCCAAATGATGGCCATCCTTTGCCTGATACACACAAAGTCACCGTCAGGGTAAATATTTACTTCTTTTTTTTTTTGCTACTTTCATAGATTTTATGAGGTAAGAAACAAATGGGATTATTTTGTTTTTTCCAATTAGCAACTGGTTGTACTTGATTGGAGCTTTGTATGGTGCAATGGAAGGAAAAAAAATTATTTTTATGTAATTTTTAGTATAAAAATCTTATTTTTAAGATATTTAAGAATTTTGATGTTCGAGTTCCACAAAATATTAAATGTGTTTGATCTTGAATTTGGAACCAGAAATTCTATCTAAGACTAGTACAAGTATTTTAGCTTTTTATGATAGATGTGTCGGTTAAAGCTATGGATTTACCTGCATTTTCTTGATGGGATATGCTAAATCGCTTAAAGCTTCATTTGGAAATTATGGTTGGTCAAGAATTGTCCAGCTGATTTGCGTTGACTCTGTAGTCAGAGGCTAAAAATCTATCAAGAATGGAATGTGTTCTAATATCATTCAGACAATCAGTCAACTATGCTTCACTTCCAAATTAGTTGGTGTCTACTATATGAATCTTTCGTATTTACTTACATTGTATTCGGGTCTTAAGGTAATTTGTTCTGATGGTTTCATATTCAAAGTTTAAAAATTGTCCTTGTTCTTCGATATGCCTTACTTTGATTATCTGGATTTCTTCTGGTTTAGCTGAGACGATATCTTTTCTTTGTTTTTTGTGCTTTAGGCAACATCTGAACATGGAAATAGCTATCACTATGCGGAAAATGTCCATGAGGGGCATTTTTCTTTTGAGACTGTGGAAGCTGGGGATTATCAGTCTTGCTTTGTTGCTGCTGATCACAAGCCTCCGGTTAAGTTGACTGTTGATTTTGAGTGGAAAACTGGTGTTGCAGCTAAGGATTGGACAAATGTTGCCAAGAAAGCCTCTGTTGAGGTAAGCCCTGAACTTTACTTTTTATCTGTGTAGCTCAATTTAATAATGGTTAGGCTCTGTCTATCTTTTGGTTTCAAGAAAATTAATGGCTATTTATAGCAATATAGCTCCGCATGCATTCTACAATTCGTGGTGTAAAATAGACCGTTCAGCCAGAACTCCTAAATCTCCGTGAACTTTTCACGTTTAGCTTGTTTAATAGAAGTATCATAATCCATTTGTGAAACGATCTGGATTGCGTCTTTTAGCACAGTTGATCCTGGCTACTTTCAACCTTTTGGGAGCCGAAACTTCAAAAAAGAAAAGAACGAAATGATTGGTTCATAAAGTTTGGGGGCTTTCTTCTTTGATCAGTATGGTATCAGATTTTTTGGGGTTCTCTTGTGCTGTTAAGTAATTTGCAATTCCTTTTGTATAGACGCTCCCAACTAGCATGGGTTGAGGTGTAGAGGTGTAGTTGATTAAGAATGAGATTAAAGTATATCTTTACAGAACTGTATGACTTAGATAGAGAATGTGATTGCCCAAGGCTTATTACTTAATAATTAAAAAGAACTTCTAAGTAATTCCTTTTTTCAGTGGAAAGAGGAAATGAGTTAGAAATAAAGAGGTCGTCACCTGAGAGATAATTGGTGACTCCTATTAATTGTTGTTCTAATGGCTGTATTCTTTCATCAAAAGAGATGTAATTAGATAATTTATAAGAAAAAAGATATACTTAGATAAAACCATGTCACATGTTCTAATTTCTTAATGAACTACAATTAAAATTTCAAGACATAGTGTATTGACTGTTTCTTAATTTTGTTCATCTCTATATGTAAAGTGTACGCTTCAAAAACCAAAGTAATTTCCTGTTCTTGGAAAATATAGAATGATTTATTTTTAAATTTACAAATTAAAATCCTCAGCATTTCACTTATTATTATAGTTAGTATTCCCTGATATCTTGGGCCAAATATTAGGAGAAACTTAGAACTAACATTGTTAAATAAAAACAAATTTATAGCGTTTGTAATGTGGTGTATAACGTACATGGATTGTCTAAAAAGTACAGTTTGGTATCTTTAA